CTCGCATCCGTGGTGATGTTGTAGTATCCGCGCATTTCCTTCCGCCCCCGATCTACAGAGGCTAGTTGCGAGCTTCTGGCAATGCAAACTGACAATAGAGAAGCAGGACCGGAATGGTAGGTGACCAAAGCCAGCTTAGGGAGCAGTGCTATCAGCATTCTTCTGGAAGAGTCGCTTGCGAGGCATGAAGATGCTCAAGACGAGGACAAGAGCGCCACCGGCAATAGTAAGGCTGTAGGTCTTGCTAATGGCACTGACGATAGCGGCAAGAACGCGGGTCTTCAACTCCGGGGATAGGTTCTGTACGATGTCCGATCGAGCACCCAAGATAGCGGCCTGGATGTCTGCTGAAGAGACATCAGTCAGGATGCCCTCAATCTTGTCCTGGCTTTGGTTGAGAAGGATAGCGTTGGCGATGGCCAGAGCAAAGGTGATGCCCACAGACTGGGCCAGCGTGATGAAGCTGATCGCTGGCGCAATGTTTTCCAGCTCAACAACTGCCTGGGCAACTGAAAAAGGCGCCTGGAGAAACATACCGACTCCAACTCCCATCAGGACCGTGAAGCCGTATACGCGAGCTGTAGCAGTCTCCAGATCGATTGTGTACATGAGGGCGGAGCCGATCACGACCAGGGCGCCGCCACCGAGAAACCATGGCATAACGTATCCTAATTTGGACATCAAGCCCCCATTGATGAAGACGGTGACCACCATGACGACGATATAAGGGAGCAATCGCACCCCGGCATCGAGGGGACCGTCGCCCTGAGTAAACTGGAAGAAGATCGGGACCATGTAGATGGGGACGAAAGAGCACGCTCCACCGGCAGCGGTGATACTGAACAGAATGAGCACCATCCGTGATCGGAAGAACTGCACAGGGATGATGCGACGGACTTCCGTTGTGAGTATGTTCCAATACTGTTGAATGCCCAAAATGATGAACAAAACACCGGATACGACGAACAGTGCGATGATGCGGCCTGAATCCCACGGATACGAGATACCACCCATATTGATGGCAACGATGAAAGTCGTCAACGCGCCGGCCTGCAGAATGGTGCCAGGATAGTCCATGTCGGCAAGTCGCGCGAGGAACGAGACGCCAGGCCGAGGATCCCTGCTGGGGATGAGGAACAGGTAGACTGGAGCGCATGCCGCACCGATGAGTAGGTTGATGTAAAACGCCCATCGCCATCCCACAGCAGACTCGCTGAAGGCACCTCCGATGACTGGGCCCAGGACGATGCCGAGACCCCAGGTAAAGCCGGTGCCAGAAACGTAGACCGGACGTTCAGACATGGTGGTAGTGCTCGCAATAAGCGTCATGCAGCCGACGTACAGACCAGATCCTCCTAAGCCCGTAATGGCACGGCCGAGAATCATCACGTTCATCGACGGCGCAGCGCCGCAGATGGCGGAGCCAATCTCGAAGATCGCAACATGGAAAATGTAGAGCCACTTGGCATCGAATTGGCCGTAGATGCGTCCCCAAAAAAGAGTGGTTACTGTAGCGCAGAGCAGGAAGCCAACACTCAGCCACGACAGCTGCTGGATGCCGCCGAATTCCTCGACAATGACAGACTGGAGGTCCGCGACAACCGTAGCGTCAAGTGCGTAGAGAAAGGTGGAGAACAGTATAGACACTACAGTCAGGTACCATTTCCAGCCAGAGATGTCGCGCGGAGGCTTCTCCGGTTCCGCCGTGCTGCCGAGATTGCCAAGCGTCCGCTCCGCTGGCTTCTCGTTGTTGATAGAACGCGCGACTGGTGTCGAGGAGGTGTTGGAATCCATGAAAAGCAGATAGGAACAAAGTTGTGGATTAGTACGAGTTGTTGAAGTTGAAGCGATTTAGAAACATGTTGTATACCACCCATATTGTCGCCCAAATAGAGCAGGCAACCTTGAGGTTGGTAATACTCTGCGGTTGAAAATGCCAAGGACCGTAAGATGTCGGCCGAAATGTAGGTAAGCAGCGGGATTACCAAAAGAGCCTTTCACCCCACAACCGAAGTCCAGCGGGCATTAGCTGACCGACGCGGATAAGCCACCAATATCGCATGCCCAAACTTAATAACAAACTTCGCAGACCCGACATCTTGCGATGCACGACTCCCAACAATGAGATGATGACCGACATGGTGATTGCCATGTGCATCATTCGATGTTGCAACCTCAGAGCACAGTCGAAAGCAGCTTAGCTTGTTCAGCCCGACAGTGAAGCACGACCATGCCAGTACAAACAAAGGGTACTGGCCTTAAATCCGATCTTGATTTAACTCCAGTCTTAAGGCCGAACTTGTCCACTCACTCGCCCTTGCTCAGCGAAACCACATGTTGACGTCGACCTTCGTTGGATCAAACTCAAGGCTTCCTCAACGAAACCCACGCCACACTAGTCGCTCCCTCATCACGCTTGCTTGCTCAATCACGATTCTCTTTCTCATCCAAGATGCAGAACACTGGCAAAAAAAGGATCGTTTCCTCGTGCATTCCATGCTACACGAAGAAACAAAAGGTGCGAACGTCTTGGTTTTTTGCCTAGGTTCTTTGACTGCGCGTTTCGAGCGCATGACTATACATCTAAAGATGCATAAAGTCGGATCGGTCTAATTTGATGTCTTCAATGCGTAGTGCAACCGTCGCTATCCGTGCGATCACTGTTCACGTCGTCGACGCCCGGAGGAGTGCGCATACTACCCTTCTCCGGCATTGCAAGCTGACCGCACGCCGCTACAAGCCCCGAGGATAGAGTTTCGTGACAATGGAGATGAACAACGCTCCGCAGTTAAAGATGCGCAATCGCAAGATAACGAAGCCAATGAGCGCGTCACTGACGCCGGAACAAATTGGAACAGCGCGAGACAGCAAAGCCCTGCCTCAGGCTCAACCGTCAGCTCTGTTTCGGACTCATTCGGATACTTCGAGTACAGCGAAAATAGCACCATCGCTTTGATCCGCAAGGCAAGTTCATCTTACCTCTAGTTGCGATATCCGAACGCGTATTGTAATCGACCAAATGTACTTCCTTTCTAATCGGTACTTGTTCAAACAGCTAGGACTTGCCAACGGCCAACACCGCGGTAACCAAGACGTTACCCAAGAAGCGTCCCCGGGGGTCTTAGAACAGATGAAGAGGATGCCGGATCGCCAGATTTGCGACTTTCTAGTCCAGCATTATGTTGATGAAGTTCACTGGTAAGTTTCCGCCCGCACTTTCTTCGTCATTCATCCGATGAACATTGGTCTCAGGCGCGAATAGAAGCTTTTCCACGCCTTACCTCTATCACCAAACGAGAGAAGGTCGTCCTGACGCTGATGTGCTACGCAGGAAAGACCAACTCGTACACCCGCCATGGTTCTTATCCCAATACCAACAACTTTGGAGCTCGGGAAACATATCGACTGTGTTCCACGTAGAATTCGTGGTACTCCTGCTGCGACTATGTTCGTACGCATCACAATTCCTCCCTTCACCATTCCATCCTATCGACCGCATCCGTAGCATGCTCCTCTCCGATATACGCACGCTGTGCAACGATGTTGCAGAGAAACTAGCCAACATTTGCGCGCAGCTATATCCTAGGGGCTCTCTACTGCGCGTGCAGCATCTAGCCTTCTTGGGCCTACGACTGCAATGCGAGGGACAAAATATGGCCTTCTGGGAAGTACTCAACAAAGCCGCCCTGGTAGCGCAGAGAATCGGACTTCATCGAAACCACACGGCCCATATGCCTGAGATGCATGTATTGGAACAGGAGATGCGACGGAGAGTCTGGTGTAATCTGTACATCTGGGACAGGTATGTGATCTTGGTGTCATTGGCTGATGCGGTCGCACATACAGTTTGTTGTTCTGACAAAACTGTATCATAGTATGCTCTCTCGGCAACTTGATCGCATACCTTTCCTCCCCGCCACACTGGACCCAGATGTTCTTCCGCGAATGCACCTTGCGCCCACCTCAAATGATGACAATGCCCCAGAAACTTTCTCAGGACGGTTACTACAGGCCCGTCTAGCTGGTTTCTGGCGCAGATTCCCCGAGACATCAACTGCAGAGTACGACGCGATCGCAGCCGAAGAACGGTACGAGCAATTCTGCTCTGAGTTCCTCGCCAGTCTTCCTGGCGCTTTCGCTCTTGAGCCGGACGAACAGTGGGACGAGACATCACGACACTTACCTCTCCAGCGGCAGATGTTGCACATTGCCATCTTCGAGAGTCTGTGCCAAAACTACCGTGGCTTATTGTTCTGTGAAATGAGTCAAACTCAAAGTCTTCCAGCTTACAAGCAAGTCCTGCTATCTTCACAAAAGAAAGCACTCGCTGTCGCTGCACTCAACGTGCTGGATGAAGTCTCGAAGCTACACGCTAAGCTAGGAGGATCTCAAACCAGATTCCCAGGTATCGTGATGCCGACATTCGAAGCCGCTGTGCTGCTAATAGCGGTGTGTGAGGACGCTGAGTTTCCAGCTGGCAGTTTAAATGATTCGATTCATACGCACAAGATGAATCCTCTCGGAGCAGGCACGCCGCATCTCACTCGCGAACGGTGCGTTAAAGCTACGACAGATGCACTCGCTCGCCTCTGCACACTTTCTCAAGTTAGCACCATGGCCGAAGATGGTGCTAATGCATTGTTCTGCCTCTTGAACGATAGAATCGCGTCAAATCCGCCAACCATGGTACCACGTGTCTCTAGCATCAGCGCGGGAAATACAGCATCACCACCGAGCATTGCAAATTTGCTTCAGCTCCAACAGTCGACGTCTATTACAACGCCGTCGATTGTGGACGCGGACCTACTTAATGACTATCTGTAGACCCCTTTATCAGACATCTCACCGGGATAGGATATGCCAATGCTGGTGTCTGAGCACAATTGTAATAGCGATGGTGGGCTTTTCGAAATCGCGAATGAGAATTGCGGTGTTTGCGGAGCGGACCCTACGCAGAGCATAAAACGACTTTGAGCTTCAATGCATTTAAGAGTGCTAAGATGATAGTACGAAAATGTGATCATCTTTCTGCCATTTTAGCTCTTTCTTCGGTACTGCGCTAATGGGAGCTTGAATCGGCTAGCGCCGATCACCCCCTGGTGTTCGCATGTGATATGCCAGTCCCCAGGTTCCTGGAAACCGTCGTGCAAACATCGTGGGCACTTTGTTTTGTGGCGCCATGCCTCGTCTAATCACCGCTCGCAATGTGGTCATATTCGTCAATATCGTCCTTCTCACCGCGCTCTTCGTCCATCTGAAGTTCGAGCTCTGGGACAAGACGGCCGCTGCGGCTGGATCGGCCAAGTCGCACCTTCCCGACGAACTCTACGATGAACAGCAGCCAGACGAGTCATCGCACAACCCGAAAGGGAAGCCGCTAAAAGCGAACGATGGCATCAAAGCGCGTCGGACCGCCGTCGTCGTCGCTAGCCAGAGTTCCGAGAACGCAACGTGGCTCGAGGAGTACTTTCCGCACTGGGAGAAGAATATCTACCATGTCGACGATCCGAGCGCGGAGCTCACGGTGCCGAAGAACAAGGGCCGAGAGAGCATGGTCTATCTGACGTACGTCCCCATGCATACTATCTTTCATCCCATGTCTAGCATGCTAACGATGGATGCGCGCGCAGCTACATAATCGACCACTACGCGTCCCTCCCCGACAACGTCCTCTTCATCCACCCCAACCGCTACCAATGGCACAACGACGACCCCGACTACGACGGCCTCCCCATGCTCCGCCACTTTCAGCTGCCCTACCTCGAGAAAGAAGGCTACGTCAACATCCGCTGCGCCTGGTCCCTCGGCTGCCCCAACGAGATCAAGCCGCTGGCGGAAGCGGGCGAACACAGAGAGGCCGTGCATGCGGGCGGACAGTATAAGAAGGCTTTTGAGAGCCTGTTTCCGGGGGAGAAGGTGCCGGATGCTGTTGGGGTGAGCTGCTGTGCGCAGTTTGCGGCGACGAGGGACAAGATCAGGGAGAGGAGCAAGGAGCAGTATGAGAAGTATCGCGATTGGATTATGGGGACTGAACTGGGGGACGCTATTAGTGGGAGGGTGTTTGAGTACTCTTGGCACAGTAAGTTCACATCCGCTACCCCGCGTGTGATGAGGCTCTGCGCGCTTTTTGCTTCTTCGATCGGCATGGATCATGTGCTAATGTTGTTGATAGTGATCTTCGGCAAGCCTCCCGTTCATTGCCCAACCGCGAAAGACTGCTACTGCAAGACCTTCGGCCTATGCGACCTGGACTGTCCGGATGCGGGAAGTTGTAAGGGACGATACACTTTGCCGCCCTACTCGAGCCTACCAAAGGGCTGGCCATATGTGGGATGGGAGGGCCAGGAGCGCCAACGCGCTGGTCCGGAACAGTGAGTGGATGCGCGTGGCTATCTCCGAGCTATCGTGTTCCCGTTGCTCTGGAGGACGAACATCCACGCCTACAGACTGGACCCCGCCGCGTCGCTTCACTATTCCGCTTCCGTCTCTATGGGCCGATTGATTGCATAGGTCCATGCGATGAGGCACATGAGCAATCGAGACGATCAGTCATGCGCGGCTGTACACGTTGCTACGTGCCACGAGGTTCGGAGCCTATTAGTTGGGCGCTGCAAGAACTGGTCAGGCCATACACTTTCGAGGCGTGTAACAGTCTCGATGGACCGACGCGATTTCCCAGTACCGTTCAGACACCATCGAAATAACGAGGCACATATTCATTCGTCGTCGTAGGGGCCACTTGCTGCATTGACGGCCACTCAGTCCTCATTCGAGTAGCCCCCTCACTAAGAATTTCCGCAAGCAGTGTCTCGATATCGGTTTGCACCAAACGGGAAGAGAGCAACACTTTGCGAGAATTGATTACATGGATAGCCGCATGTATACGATGCCCGATCGCGTACGGCACAGTCCACTACCTGCTGGGGCTCACTGACAGTCTCGTGGATTTTCAGGCTCTAATGCACTATCACCTGTAGGATTACTCCCCGATTCCCCGCTTTCCCGAGAGGCCTCGTCCAGGCTAGAGATTGCAGTGCGGGCCAAAGGCGTTGAGCATGCAGAAGGGTACATACCCGAAACTGTGCCTCAGGCTGTACGAGTACAGCACTGGACGAATGAGAAGTAGCCTTGATCGGCCCTGGACTTAGCCTGGCGGGTCAAGTGTTCTTGTCGAAGCCGCAACGGTCGTAGGACAAGGCTGAGTATGTACTAATCGTGCATGGATACGCACAGCATGATGGGGTCCAGAATCATTCGGTTTCGTCGAAGCGATATCGCAAAGCGTGCCGATCCATCAGTATCCCATAGCTAGCACTTAGTCTTGATCCCTTGGTTCATGGTTGTGTGGGGTTACTAGCAGGCTAAGAGTACCAGAAGAGCAGGGTTGTGTGGCGTACCTGATTTTGCCTGACAAGAGCAGAGCCGCATGCTTACCGCTAGTGGAACTCCACTGATGCGGCTCACATGGCACAACCCAACTCTTGTCGCACCCAACATCGTCGTATCTCGAGACGCATGCGACACGGCAAATGACCACCCTTGATCGGTATGAGTTTTGGAACACATCGTGGCCCCAATTCCACCCACAGAATACCATCGGGTCGACATAGCCTGTTATTTCTCAGCCTTCCGCCGACGCAACAAGGAAGTGCAACCAGGGATTACGCGAAATGCAAAGCGCTGACGCTATTCCCATGGGTCAGACTTTAACCTAGCATGAAATTGCGCCCTACTTGAGATGCGGCTCTGCAACTGCGAGGCATTCAAAGCCCGTGCTTTCTGCACATCCAGCGAGCAGTATTCTGCAGCTGACTTACGCCACCTACTGTTAGCTTGAAACCTTTTTCTTGTCCAGATCTCAAGATCTTGCTTCTTCTTAGCCAATTACTCGTATGGAAATTCGCTCACGTGCCCTATTTGCCTTGTCTCTATACATCTCTATCTCGTTCTATGACGACTTCCCTTGACCGGCTACCTTTTGATTTACTCTTCTGTATCACCTTCGATTTGGATCTCGAGGATATCGTTCATCTCAGCCAAACATGTCGACACTTAAGAGCCGTACTAGACGAAAGGACAGTTGTCAGGCGTGCTGTCGAGGTCAGATGACGCCAAACGGTCAATCTGCTTACACCAAAGGCTGACGCTGCTTATAGATCAACTATCCCCACACCGAGGAAGCGTCTTTAGCCCGAACAGAGAAGATTACCTACAAGCAAGCCTTTCAGGCTATCTATGACAGAAGACATGCTTTGTCAACTGCGCACCCGTTTTCGGCTCGCGTCTTGGGCCAAGGAAATAACTTTTTGTATCGACAGGGGACTATATGTGTTTTCGACGCTGGGGTGGTACACGTCACGGATCTCAGTTCGCGGAAGGAAGCTATCCCTCTCGATCTCCAAGCTATCATTCGGCCTGTTTTGGAGTCGAAGTTCAGAGCCTTTGGTAATATCAGCGTGCGCTTACTTTACTATGCTGATGAGATCCTCTCTATACATGCTATACCAAAGTACAACTCGGATGACAGCCATATATTCGCCATCAACACGGCTGCAAACCTTGCGGATGGACAAAGAGTGATCGAATCGGTGCGACTAAGCGAATGCTCTAAGCTTTTTGTTAGACATAATAAGCATTATTTATACTACGGCACACATACTGGAATCGGCGATGACGGTCATCACAAATGGGAGATTGAGGGCATCTCACTCCATGAAGACTTTCCGAAAACTGAACGCGAACGACCAGTACTGCTCGATAAGTTCCACGGATCTGACATCGGCTCCACCATCGCGTTCGAAATCCACAATAACTACTTCTACGCTGTCTCTAACCAGGGCACCTTTGAAGTGGAAGAGATCGATTATACTTCCTTCTACCATGTGGTCCGTTTTCCACTGGACAAACCGGATGACGTTCAGAAAGATGAGCGCCTCTTTCGTCGACAGCACAAGCAAGGACCAATCCACGACTCATGGACCGATCTTGCACTACAGCTTGATGAGCGTACAAACGAGACGGTGATTGTGGAGTCGCGTCGAGAGTGGGCTCAAGCATCTTCTCGCCAGTCGCGCACCTTCTACGTCACTAAGATGGACTTTCAAGAAGAGGACGACACCGAGGAACTATCGGATGAACTACTTGGGCCTGAGGATGATCTCTTCCTCCCGCTCATAGATTCCTCGAACAACCCCCAATGGAAACCAACACCCGATCTCTACAGCTGGAGCCAACACCCTGAGTTCTCTCCCACAGATCCTTCACCCCGTTCCTTCACCCTGTCCCGAACGAAATTTCGAGCCTACAGCTACCCATGCACCTCCTTCGTCGATCTGGTCGAAGACGACCGCTGCTGCAACAACCCTTCGCAAGCACCATGCCTCAGACTGCGAATAGGATCTCGCCGCGAACTAGGCCTCGCCTTCACTTCCACTCGCAACAGCACCAGCAACAGCAAAGGAAAAGCGCCCATCGACGACACCAAGCCCTCCTTCGTGGATACGCAAACACTCTACCGCCAGTCGCCTGTCCGCATGTGGCCTCCTCCCTCATCACGCTGTCCCTGCTCAGCGCGCCTCCACAACATACTCAACCCAACACTCCCCACCATCAACTCATCTTCCTCCACCACACGCAGCGTAACCGGCGTCCTCGACTCCCAACGCCTAGTCTTCATGATCAAGCCAGGGCGCACCTACGGCTCCAACGAAGACAACACATCAGGCAGCATCGTGGTCATAGATTTCACTCGTCCGCTCACGGCTACGGGTCCGACACCCTCAACATCAAGCTCATCGTCACTAGCACTGCGGCCATCGTCGCTGGCACGCTGCGATAGTAAGATGGGCGATGAGTTGGTGACGCCAAAGAAGTGTGTTGACCCGTTGGTCTGGCATTGGTCGGATGATTCAAAGGGGCGCTGCAGGCGAGGCACGTGTCAGTGAGTGGTTGGGGAGCGGGTTGCCGTGGCCTTTTGCAATTGGCAATGAGGAATTGAGTCAGTAAGTGAGGCAACGAACGAGGGAGTGCAAGTTCGCAGTTCGGTGCAGAGGTGTTGAGCCTCACAGTAGGCAAATGGTGCGCAGACCAGGCTTGTATCGGTTTACTCGGGGTTTCTATTATGGTCTTTTTTTGCCTTGCTGCACGTTCTTATACGATGCAGGTTATATGTATGTGCATATGCACGCCCTTTCCTTCATAGTCGGGCTCATATGGGGTGGTTCCGGTGAAGGACCCCGCACGAGGCTGCGTTGGTAAGAGATAAGGGTTGCGAGCACGCCATCGTTTCTTAGTATTTAAAAGTATGTTGTTCGTCCTTCTTTTTTATCGCAATACCCATATCTTTGCTTGAATTCATTCCTTTGACGTGGTATTGTAGTGCGTGTTTGAATGATACATGATGGTCGAGTGAGGATTGATTATATCCAGAAGCGCTCGGTAGGAAACTCACAGCGCATTAGTTGACCCATCGAAGAACACTTTTGAGAGTAAAGTTTGTCACGTACGTTGATACGTATTAATCTCCGTACTTCTTGCACGATATATCCCAAAGGTCGCAAGGCTTTGCAAAACGTTTACCATCAAAGCTGTAAGGCCAGACGCCGATGCAAATCCCCCCTTCCATGCGCAAACTCACAAGCAATGTAGCCTTCCTGTGTGAGCATAGCAGAAGCGAAGCGCGACAATCGATAACGCATCGATATTGGGCAAAGTGTCTTGATTGGTCTATACTATATGCCGCATCCGCATGCGTAGTCCATCTAAAAAGAAATGCTGCCAATGCCCAAAGCGCTCGTTTGGTATTAAGTCTAGACTCGAGGATCGCGACATGTGAAAAGGGAAAAAGAAATGATGAAAAAACTGACGGTGTGATGTTTGTTTCGCCGTGGAACTCCAAGCTATGAGATAGATGTATGAGGGAGCTTGGTTTCTCTCCAAGATGTGCCTAGGCAACGACACAAAAGGTGGCCACTGTATTCTGACAGCACAAAATACAGTGGATTACTCAACGTGTCTGATACCCAAGGTACAACTGTCAAGATACGAGCTCCGTAGTAGGAAAAGGTGCAAAGTGGACAGAACAGCCTAGTCGGTCCGATAGTGGAGAAGTATGTACAATCGAAATGAAGTAGCCGCGGTAAGAATATCGGGCAGTATAGTCGGTAAACGCAGCACCGGTACGTTCTTCACCGCAGACTCGAGCGAAAGGTATGGCGAAGAATGTTTCCGGTGAGAATGGTGGAGTGATGACCTCGCGAAGTTTGAAGACTTTGATGGACGGACCCACTCCGTTGGAAGCATGCACATGTAAAGTAGACCGCTCACGGCCGACTTTGTCCGGCAAAATGTTTTCGCGGTGTGCATGGCCTTGTCGCGGTGGTGTTTGCCATGGTACGACGGATCTGTAGCCAAGTCGTATGGAAATTATAGTTCCATTCCGTCGAGATCTCGCATCACACACGCCATCTGCGCCCGTTTCGCGGCCTCGGCAAGCAGCGCAGCCTGGTTGAGGTAGTTTGTAGTCTCAGCAGCCGTCTGGCCGGCTCCCGACCTGTTCGGTTGGTACTCGAAGCTGTTCTGCCGTTGGGCCTGCATGCGAGGCTGCTGCTGCAACTGTTGCGACTGCTGGTTCAGGGAGCCAAAGTACTGGTGGTTCTGGGGGCTCGTGGACGGCGAGACGGGCGGTGCAGATTGCGTCGAAGAGCGGGAGGAGGCGTGGCTTGAGGCGGACGTGCTGGTGTAGCTTGCGGCTGGGGTGCTGGAGGACTGGAGGGCAGAGAAGGCGGGTCGGCTGGGCGCGCCGTAGTGTTGTTGCGAGTAGTTGGACATGGCTGTGGGAATGGCTGGTAGGGTCGTGACGGAGTCCTTGAAGTCTTCGATGGAGGCGAGGAGAGCAGAGGAGTGGAAAGGGTGTAGGCAGTGGGTGAGGCGAGAGTATGGGTAAAGTAAATATGGACCCGTGGTAGCTCGATATTACCCTGTATTGGCGATCTTCTGCGCGTCACCCGGAACAATCCCAGCGAATTCGTCTAGACGTGTGCAATAAAGGCTGAAGTCGGGACAAGGTGAGGCAAAGCAGGATACAGGCAAAAGGAAGGTGGAATCGCCTGCAAGATAGGCAGCACAATCCATGGCTTTACTTGGACCGCGGCTCAGACTGCTAGCTCGTGAATTTCGTCACAGGCCAATCTGATCTGCCGACGCTTGCCATCGCATCGAGACGCCAGGTCTCTTTAGTTTTACGCGGATTGCCTCTTGCAGACAAAGCATTGCTCGCCCGACTCGCAACATGCCCGTAAGTCCTCGTTGAACCTTCCCCAGACTCGCCTACTGACCAGGGCAGCTCGTTTTAATTTCAGGTTCCACCTTCCCCTCCATGCTTTTCCCCCGCCATCGAGCTAACCCACCCCCGAAGGCTTCCCTTCCGCGGGCAAGACCACCAGGGCCCTCCAGCTAAAAGAGTATTTCGAGGCCAAGATCGCCAGTTCGCCTCCTGATGCGCGCACTTCCCGCCTAAGAGTCCATCTCATCAACGACCAGTCGCTGGGCGTGTCGCGCGCCGTCTACCATACCGCCAAAGCCGAGAAGGATGCACGTGCGGAAGAATATTCCGCCGTCAAGAGAGTCTTGTCGCGCGATGACATCGTTATCGCCGATGGCTTAAACTACATCAAGGGCTTCCGCTACCAGCTGTACTGCGAGGCCAAGGCTCTGCAGACTCCAAGCTGCGTTGTCAGTATACCGTGTGCGCTGATGGGATGCACGACTGACAGTCCTAGAGCTGCACATAGGCACGCCCGCCGAACGATGTCGCGAGAACAACAAGAAGCTCTTGGCGGACAAAGATACCGACGGCGGCTATGAGGAGGACGACTTTGAGAACCTCATCTTCCGGTATGAGGAGCCCAATGGCATGACGCGGTGGGACAGTCCGCTGTTCATCGTCATCGAGGAGGACGAGAAGCCGCCGTGCGACCAGATATGGGACACCATAGTCAGCAGCGATGGCAAGATGAAGACTGTCAAGCCGAACCTTGCGACCGTGCTGGTGCGTACTCCAGTTCTTCTAATGTGTTGAGATGCCTCTAACACACAGCAGAAACCAGCGACAGAGCAGAACTACCTCTACGAGCTCGACAAGACGACCTCCGATATCCTCGCCCAGATAATGGTCTACCAGAAAGACCACCCTGGTGAAGGAGGTGGAGAGATAGCCGTTGCCGATGTCGAGAAGCCCATCGAGCTCCCTGCGACGCCAATGACCCTCCCGCAACTCCAGCGGATTCGCCGCCAATTCATCACCCTGAATCGTCAACACAGCTTCTCCAAAGCACGCATAAAGGAGGTCTTTGTCGACTACCTCAACGCCGAGTTCCTGCGCTAGACTGGCGATGTCGGAGCTATGTGGAGCAATGTGTATTCGGATATGCTTTCATGCATCGCGACAGTGGAATGTCAAGGGACGAACGGAGAGACTGCATGTCGACAGCTCAGCGGATACCGAGATGTTGGCACAATTCTCGAACGTTCTCCCAGCGACGACGCATAACACCTCTCCGAATTCTCCCGACCACACGATACCCCTCAACACCAGCTGTACGCCATAATCACGTTCGCAACGATGATTGGCATCCCAGTCCCTGCACTTGCAACAACATGGTGTGATCACGTCTACCCACCCCGCATTTCCAACGCCCATGCGCTACCTGCTACAAAGGGCCGACCCATCACCAACATCAACCAGGAATAAGGATCAAGCCTGTTGGACCTGTCAGAAGCGAGTGAGGGAAACTTTCTCAGTTTCTTTTTGTGATTGGCTACAATACCCCGATTAGCTCTAACCCCCTCAATACGAATGTAGAATATGTACATCATGGGCAACAGATCGCGATGTATGACGTGTGCGTAGACTCCGATCGGAAAAGCCAGCCAAGGACCTTGCGTCGATCATGACGCTGTGCATCGTGATGTCTTGCCCAAAACTGTTTTCTAGATTATTGGGTGAGAAACAGTCCAACTGAGCTGAGTTGTATGCATGCAGCCTCTATTACATGCCGTATACTCATGTTTTACATCCTTAGCGTTACGCCACACCATCTCCACATTCATCAGTCCCTTCCAGGTTTCCCCCTCAGTCATCTCCCGACATACGCCATGGCGTTACTAGGCGGCTGTCTCAAACACACACCGATCACGCAGTATGCCTCCGATCGCGAAACCCTTGCATCGCCGTCCCCACTTACTCCCAAGCAAGAGCAAAAGTGGAAAATGGAAAGCTGACGCCGAAATGGGCTGAGGCTGACAAGCCCCCGCATATTTCTCCACGTGCGAACCATGTGGGTCGCGCAGTGGGCTAGCTGGGGTGCGGGGTGTGTAGCTGGTAGGTAGGTAAGGGTTGTCGTCGTGGTAGTGGGAGGGTGTGTGGCTGGAGACGCACGCGAGGGGAGAGGTAGGACTTCCTTTCATCCGGCGCGAAGGTGCATGACGAGGGCGGGAATTGCCGAGAATCGGAGGGTTTGGGATACGGTCATGTACGAAGAACGAGATTAGATGCTCACGACGATGTAGAAGCAAACTGGCGAAAACAATTGAAGGTAGTGAGTTGGAAATGTTGAATTAAATTAACCAAGACTATGTACAAAGATTTCCATTGGAAAAAAAGAAAGTAGCTCGTCCCTCCATCCCAATTCCCATCGCGGCTCTCTTTCGCTCAGGCCAGAAGCGTGGTATCTCAAAAGCAGCAAAAGCCCAACCAGACCCGTGTCGTCAACAGGTGAAGGACCCTCAACCCTATGCGCCAGACACCCAATCTCCATTTGTACAACCCATCATAATCATCGTGATATCATCAACACTACCACCAGTTTTACAACCCACAGTAAGTAGCATCCAAGCCTGTTAAACCCGCCGCACTGTCATAGTCACCCGGAATCATGATACCAGG